GAAAATAAATACAAGAAAAACCAAACCACTCTGAATTAACGCAGTAAACACTATCCCCTTTGCTATAAATACAGCCGCTATACAAGATGTTGAACAATTCAACTACCTCGGTAGTATAATATCGACAACCTGAGGGGTTGAAGAAGACTTTGAAAATAGACTAAAACTTGCTTGCTAAGGTGGCATTCGGCATATTATGGACCATATGGAAATCCTCACACTTATCCAGGAATGCAAAAATAAAAATATTCAACACATGTGTGAAGCCGGTTCTGTTGTATGATTCCGAAACATGGCTAGCGAAAAATAAATGCACAAAAAAATGCAGGTATTCTTAAATAGGAGCCTAAGGATCATCTGCCGTGGATTGTGGCCCAGACGAATCAGCAACACAGACCTCTGGGCTTTAACCCACCGAGAATCAATCGCAAGAGTTATAAAGAAGAAAAAATGGAGATGGATAGGCCATACATTGCGACGCCCGCCTGAAACCATCGCAAGACAGGTATTGCAGTGGAATCCGCTGGGTAGAAGAAGTGTGGGAGGGCCAAAGAATACGTGGCAAAGAACAATAAAGAAAGAAATCGCCATGGCTAACATGACATGGGCAGAAGTAAAAAGAATGGCCCCTAACAGAGTTCGCTGGAGACGGTTTGTGGAAGCCCTATGCTCCCAAGGAGAGTAAAGCAGGAAAAAAAAATTTGTTTCGAAAGAGAGCACATATAGCGTGTCGTAAAAATTGCTTTTCTTTTTCGAAAATTTGAACGGTAAAATTAAATCAGGTGGGAAATTTCGAGAATACGAAAATCAAGAAACTAACTATAAAATATATTGAAATTTCATTTAGATTTTCACAAAACTCTCAACAATTCTCTTTCTTTAGGTATCTAATTACCTGAAGCATACTGCAAGCAATCATTGTTAACCTAATATGACCATCTCTTTTCAGTTTACATGACTCGAGTGCTTTTCCAATTAACTTTCTATACCGAGAAAATTATTTTTCAATTGAAACAATTGACATATTTTTTTATTTACTATTTTTGTGTCTTATCTAAAAAGGATAATAATAAAAAGGATTTTTAAGACAATTTAATGTAATTTTTTTTTTCAATAAAAAAATTACAGTACAAAAAAATTTTCGTTTTAAATTTAGTTTTTTGGAAAAACTCATTTCTTTACCCATTCTAAGGAAGTAAAGTGGGACGAAATAAATGAAAAAATAGAATTTTGTGTTTTTTTTTTTTGGATCATGCATAGTAGGCAGTCGAATTCAATTTTAATATATTTACAGGGTACAGAAGTGCACATTATATTGTAAAAATAAATAAGTATAAAGGATTCAAATTTTAAAATATAAAAAACACGTTTGACATATTTAGGATATTTAATCTTTGGGAAAAGAAAATCAAAATAGGGAAAAAATAAATTATGTTTATAAAGATAAAAATATGTTTATAAAGACAGAATAAATTAAGTACAAAATACATGTTTTTTTCTTTTTTCTTTATGGTTCATTTGTTCATGTGTATTGCAATTTATTGTATGTCATGGAGGAAACAAGTAATCATATTTATCGGATTACATATAACATATACATATACATAGTATATGCATAACGAAATTGTTATATTCTAATGTTCTATTTCATGTACTCATTTAAAATATTTTGTTTTATTATTATAGAAATAGAAAATATTATTGAAATTTTGTTTATTTTAAAGTAGGCCAATATAATTGCTTATATAGGACATATTAATTTTACGTGTTAAAGAATAAATGTAGTATGAGATCACGTACTTATGGACGGCTATTCCTGTAGGCGATAGTAATATTTCGGAAAAGATATAAGGTGTACAAATGGTGTCTAAATCCTTTACTGCTACGGAAAGTATTTTTTTCATTTTCGAAAATACTATTCTATAGTTCTTATTCTATATATGAACCATACTATACTCGGTATATATATACAAAAAAATTTTTTTTGGCCTACAGAACATTGATATATACCGAGAAAAATTTTAAAATTATTTAAGATTTCGGATTCTTATTCGGGTTTTGCATTTGAGTTGTTTTTTTTTGCTCATATTAAAAAAATAATTTTAACTATTTATACGAATTTATGCGTTTATTCCTTAAAATTCGCAGCTACGTAAATAAATTTAACTTTTCTAATAATAATTAAAAGAAAAATTTTTAACTTGAAGAGAATTCAAAATTTTAAGTTTGATTTAAATTTGAAATCCATACTGTTATACATATTTGTATAGAATTTTAAAATAGATTATACGCTAATATCCAAAAAATCCTAGTAGATTTTTAATTGATTTTAATTAAATCTACATGAGAAACTATTAAATTTTCAATTCTAATAAATTTATTGTTATTTGTATTGTATTAAAATTTCATTTGAAAAAATTGCATATTTTTAGGGGCCAAACAATTTTAAACCTAATAAAATTCCAAAATAAAATCTAGTTCTACAATAATAAACTTGAAAAGTAATAATAATGCTAATTTTTATGGAAAAATTTCCTACAGTCTCACGATCATTCACGAACCCTTCAAGTTAGTATGCAAGAAGAAATTTTCAAATTTTTTATACTTGGACAAGAATTTTTGTGTATTAAATAAATTTACAAAATATTTTAAAAATTACAGCTAAAAACGAGAAAAAAAGTAGAGTTGACTTTGTCAACTCTGTGATACCCGTACGAATTTGTTGTCCTATGTGCGAATAACTAATGTGCCATAACTAACTATGGGGCAGACTATGACTTTAAATTGTCGTATTACCATATTAATTTATGCAAAATTTCAGTACTATGTGTTTTTCAAAATACTGGTTGTGCCAAACTACTATTGAAGTTGTATGGCAGCTACCAGAAAGAGCCAAGAAATTTTAGCGAATTTTATTAAGCACATCGGCCCTACTAATATATTCACTTGTGTGAAATCTCAATATCACACCTTTTATAGTTTCTGAGATATAGCCAAATAACTTTTGAAGTTGTATGGCAGGTACCAGAAGGAGCCAAGTAATTTCAACAACTTTTATGAGACACATTGGCCCTACTAATATATTCATTCGTGTGAAATTTCAATACCATAGCTTTAATAGTTTCTGAAATATAGTCAAATAACTTTTGAAGTTGTATGGCAGGTACCAGAAGGAGCCAAGTAATTTCAACGACTTTTATGAGACACATTGGCCCTACTAATATATTCGTTTTTGTGAAATTTCAATACCATAGCTTCAATAGTTTCTGAAATATAGTCAAATAACTTTTGAAGTTGTATGGCAGGTACCAGAAGGAGCCAAGTAATTTCAACGACTTTTATGACACACATTGGCCCTATTAATATATTCGTTTGTGTGAAATTTCAATACCATAGCTTCAATAGTTTCTGAAATATAGTCAAATAACTTTTGAAGTTGTATGGCAGGTACCAGAAGGAGCCAAGTAATTTCAACGACTTTTATGAGACACATTGGCCCTACTAACATATTCGTTTGTGTGAAATTTCAATACCACAACTTTTATAGTTTCTGAGATATAGCCAAATAAATTTTGAAGTTGTATGGCAGCTACCCGAACCGGTACCCCGATCACGTCCAATTTAAATAGGGTTCTGGCACTTACTACAATAAATCATTTGTGAAAATTTGGTGAACTTAGCTCAATTAGTTTTTGAGTTATCGTTCGGACGGACGGACGGACGGACGGACGGACGGACGGACGGACGGACGGACGGACGGACAGACAAAGCTAAATCAACTCAGAATTTGACGCTGATCAAAAACATACACTTGAGTCTATATCTAACACCGTTATTTCTTAGCGTTACAAACGGTAAGGCAAATTTAGTATACCCTTCGAACATACGTTCGTACGGGTATAATTACCATTCAACCTTTTTAGAATTAAATTGAAACCGTCGGAATTAGAACCATTGAAATTGATCATAAAATGAATGTATAATATTAAAATCTAATAATGCAATCTTTCAATGCAATACCGTATAGGGCGTTATACACTACGCAAATAATATTATTATGAAAAAATATTATTATTATATAAGAAAACAAAAAAAACCATTGATTTTGACATATTCTTAAAATAAAATTTCAATGGCATATATACCGCTCACAAAAAAATAAAAAATAAACCGCATATCGCCAGTAAATCATAAAATATATTTCTTATATATATATATATATATACCATAATACTATTATACAAATGAAAATCATAATAATTTTTCTCATATATAAATACAATAAATTCTTACATAATTATTATACACAATATAATATAGTAATTCGAAAAATCTTTAATACACTATACATATATACGCTTACATATAGTGTGTATATGCTTGTGTATATGAATAAAATGAAATCTTTTAGTAGCAAATAAATGAAAAATTTAAGTCGGAAATATTTTGTTGAAAATAATTAATTTTTAAGAAAATTAATTCGAATTTTTGTACGAATTTTTAGAAAATTATTTAACAAACCGCAATAAGTTGGTAGAATTAAATTAGAATTGCTGAAAATTTCATAAAATTTCCCTTAAAAATTCTAAATATAAGTAAGCAGAGGACATTGTTTTTTCTTCTCCTTTAATGTCTGGCAAAAATTGATTTTCATTTTAAATTGAAAATTTTTTTCATTTGATTTGAAAAATGTTTTCATTTGATTTGAAAAATGTTTTCATTTGATTTGAAAATTTTCTCATTTGATTTGAAAAATTTTCTCATTTAATTTAAAAATAATAAATTATTAGCAGAAAATTTTTGATATTCTAAAAAATTTTTAATTAATTTATAAAAATATTTTCATTTACTTTAAAAAATTTTTGGGTCGTTTAACAATATTTTGTTATTTTTTTATTAAAAATACTAGAAATTTAATAAATTAAATATTGAAATTAGAAAATTAATTTTAAAATGAAAAAAAAAGAATTATATTTTTAAATTTAATTCAAAATGAATACCATATAATTGTATAACATTTACAATTTTCTCCCAGATATATTCAGAATTTCAGGATTAATATTTTCTAAAATAAAATATTAAAAATTTAAGAATTTTTTTATTTCAGCAAAATAAATTGGAATTTCTTTTTTGGAAAAATTTTTCTTAAAATTTTATTTTATTTTTCTCATTTTTCTCTTTATAATTTGTTGTTGTCTTTGTTTTTTTTGTTTGTTTTTGACCTGTTTGTCAAATAAGACGAGAAAGAGCTTTTCGTTTTTCACTTTGAATTTGGTTGTTGTTGTTTTTTTTTTTCATTTAATGATTTTTTCTCACAAATTTATACACACAAAAAAAAAGAGAAAATAGAAAACTTTCAATTTTCACTAAAAAAAAAGTCGAATCGAAAAATGTTTTTCCTTTCTATTAATGGCAAATTTTCTTTTTTAAAAAATTTGCAAATGTCCTTTTTTTATTTTTAAAAATATTTAATTTTATATTTATTTTTTTGATATTTTCAATTATTTTATTACTTAAAATTTATTATTGTCAAAAATTAAGTTGACATTTTTTTTTTTCGTAAAATTTTTTGGTTCAATAAATTTTTTTATTAAAACTAAAAAGGATAAAATTTGCAGGATAATAAATTTACATTTATTTTAAAATTTTCTCAAATTTATTATTAATATTATTTTATGAAGAGGAATTATTTTAAAAATTATTATTTCTTTTTTAATTAATTTTTAAAAAAAAAATTTTTTCTAAAATTCTGTTCAAGATTATTTTTTTAAATTTTTCAACCCATGCGAGAGTTGTTGTGTTCGTCTGAAGGGCTCGAAAATGCTTTTGATCATATTTTCAATTTTTATATGATTCCTTTGTACTTTTTAAGGAAAATGAGGAAAACAACAAAAACAAGCATAACAACAATGAGAACAAGAACGACAACAAGAAAAAATGAGAAATGAAAAAAAAAGGAAAAATTTTTCTTGTTTAATTTTTTTTTATTTTTTAGAATATTAAAGTTGAGAGTAAGTAAAACAAGTATGAAATGAACAATAATCAATGTATAATCAATATCAATTGCAGTTATAATAATACATATACCAAATTACTACCGTTATGAACTTCATACCAAAATCATCATCACAACTATCATCACCATCATTCAATCAACATTATTGAGTAAAAAATACGAAAGCACGACGAAAATCGGTAACATTTTTTTTTTATTTATTTATTTTGTATAGTCGAAGTATTTAAAATAATGAAAATAACTGTAAATTATAAAATACTTATACATATACATGTATATAATTCAAATATGCAAGCATACATATACATAAGTAATGAAAATTGAAAGTTGAAAAAAAAAATTGAGAGAAAACATTAAGAAAATTTTCATTTCGTATATGAAAAAGAAAAATGGAAAAAATTTTCAAATGAAAACATGAAGAAAAGCTTTTTATTTTATGTAAAATAAAAATAAGAGTAAATACATACATAGGCAGAATGCATATTATATACGTGAAAGAAAATATATATGTATATGAAAATGAATAAAAATTTTATCCTTGTATTTGTGTGTAAACAGAAATTTAAGCAAATACTTTGGTATTTTTTTACATTATGGCATATGTAAAGTAATTAATCGTGAATTTACAAAATATAATATAATTGCAATAAATAACTGTTATACTTATAATTATAAGAATACATATACAGTGGTATATACAGTGGCGATATTTTTAATTGAACAGTAATTTTAATTGGAACAATTTGATAAATTTTAGAAATATATTTAAGAGAAATTTTAGCATATAATGCAATAGATTTAAGAATTTTAAACTATTCTATTAAGAAAACTTAAATAGATTAACAAATTAAGAAATTTTGTACTATTGGGCTTGAAAAACACAAATCTTTAATAAACAAACTGTTTAAACATACTTATTCTGAAGAAAGACAAGTCTGACTCTAATTAAAAATAATTGTATTGTGTTTAGTTGAAAATAATAAATAAATAAATTCACAAATTTCATTGAAAACTCAACATGTAATATTTGATCCTATCACAATACCGATACTTTTTATTATATACAATGTCTGTATCACGATACAGGATGATAAAAAAATGGTAATTTTCACATTTCCATATTAATTACTTTAATATTACAAAATAATTATTAGATCCTAGCAATGCACTTCAAAACATAGGTGCATCAATGATGTAATTATAAAAATGTTTCAAAAATTTTGGGCTTGTTTGGCATAATAATAAGCGGCTTCAGCTATCTTCTATGAACAATAATTTCAATAAATTACAAAGTATATTTTATAAAATAAACAAATTCAATATTTCCGGTGTTCATACTTTTGAAAAAGAGTAAAATCACCGCTTACATACTCCTAAATGAAATCACAAGAGTATTGTCGTAAAATCAACGCCTATACGTATTATAAGCCCCTATTATAATCTTGAATAACCATATAAAAAACATAACTCTCAATAAAACAAGTAGTCAATAAGTCTACAATTACTAAAATTCTGGTATACAAGTACAAATGTAAAATTTTTTCAAATAGTGCACATGACAGTAGATAGTGTCGTATATTCTGCATAAGTATGTAAAAGTATGACAATTTAAACTTTTTCTTTCATATAAAAATACAAAGTTTTGCTTTAATAATATAATATGCACATTTTCTTATACAACAAAAATTAAAAAATATTTATACAGTTAATTCTATTCTCTATTGTACAGATGATTGGCAGAATGAGAGAAATAAAAACAGAAATAACTTTTAAGAAGAAAAAACAAAAAACCTTGTTAACTTTTATGAAATGTGAAGGAAAAAAGCTCATCTCTCATTTTAAATTTTTCTCAAATATTTTCATTTGTCATTGTGTGTGCGTCAAGAATTTTCAACAACGTACACATGTAAAGAATATTTTAAATTCGGTACACATGTACTTTGAATTTTCCTATATAAATATTTTTCTATTGCAATTTGAGTACGTTTATTGTGTAAGTATGTTTAGAAATTTTTTTTCTTTATTCTTGTTAGTTTTCTCATTCTTTTCCGATTGAAATTTCTCATATGTGTATGAGAATTTCTTATGTATTTTTGTTCAAGTTTTACTGAGAACGTGTAAGTACAACTAAAACAACCGTAAGTTTTGTTTCACTGCACAATATACATGAATAGAATACGTATACAAATAGGATAACTTTTACAAGTGTTAGTTAGTTGTTGTTTTAGTAGTGTGTGTTTAAGGATTGTATTTTATAATATTTTTGTTTATTTTCTTTCACTTAAATGACCATGGACAAGTACAATTAAGTTAACAAAAAGGAAAAAACAAATTTTTTTTTTTTGTTTTGTTAATGCACAAAGGGTTGTTCTTTTGTTTTCATTCTATTATTTTCTCTCTTTCTCTTTATTCCTTTCTCATTTTTATACAGATTTATAATAATTTTCAAAACATATAATATTTTTAAACACACAGGGCATAATACTTAATTTTAAGTTTGTATGAATGAAAATTTTGAATGAAATTTAATGTTATTTTAAATTTAATTGAAAATTGTTTGAAAATTCGCAAAAATTTGATTAAAAATTTTAAAACAAAATGTAATATAAGCAAAATACCGTAATTTTAACAAATTTTTCGGCAAAATGTTAAAAATTATGATTAATTACACGTGAATTCCTTCCCATCTTCTATTTTTTTCTTAGCTATAATAAAATTTTTCCGCTATTTATTTTTTAATTATGGTTGATGCCAAGAAAAGAATTTTTTTTTATATAAATACTTTAGATTTGGCCAACGTTCAATTTCTCGTAATATTAAATCATTTGTTATTTTTATCGTATATATATACACATAGGTGAAGTGTAGGCTCATAGACTCATAATTTATAGAATTATTTCATAAATATTTCATTAGGCATAAATTTATTTGAAAAACTAAAAAAATTTCCTGAATAAATTCAATGAAAGTTCTTAATTCATAAATTTTTTCTATTTAAATTTAAATATTAAATAATTTGATTATAATTAATTATAAATTTAAATCTTACCAACTGGGATTTTTAAAAGTTGAATTATTTGAGGAAAACTTACCTGAAATTGTAAAAAAAATTAAAATTTAATTAATTGGAATTTTAAAAATAGTGATAAATTTTAAAATTTTAAATAGGAAAAAGATTAAGTATTATTAATTTTTATTAAAATTAAAAATAATTTCAGTTTTTTTTATTACAAGCTCAAGAGCGTCAATAAACTATAATTATAAAATTATAGAAATGAACTACGTCTTTATAAAGAACATCAGATGCTTTATATATACAAGATGTCTCCATTCTAAGTGCACAACTATATTATGCCGTTGTATAGGTTTTCATTAATAGGTAAAATTTTTGTATGAAGACAATTTTCACAGATCAACAGGTTTAGAGATACAGAAGCTTAAAATCAATCTCGAACGTTTTATATTTTAATCTCGAACGTGTTATACTCTCTGAAACTTTAATTTTAAGCACATTTCATAGCTTTTGTGCCTGATATACGTTTGATTAAAAAATTTTTTGGTCAGCTCAGAATAAACTTTTTTTTTTGTAAACATACATTAGCTATACAGTCTTTTGAAATTTTGGAATCACATAAGTTTAAAGTTAGAAAAATATGAATTCCCTCTAAACTAATGTTTTTTACAACGATTTTCTTTTCCTTCAATAATTGAGGAAAATATTCAGCCAACGTTCAAGATGTCGCCTATTTTCTATTATGCAAGTATTCAACCAACCATAACAAACTTTCTTAAGTATCTCCAAAAATTTAAGACCCTAGGGTGAGTCAACCGGTATCTTTTACGGATATGGCCCTTGAATTAATTTTTTATTTCAAAAATCTTCTGATAAATAAAAATTTTTAAGAGATCCATAGAGGCAGACAGGCTCATGAGGAAGGCGATAAATGAAAATACTATTTTTCTTTTATTACGATGCCGTTATACAGAAGTTTCATGCAGAATGTTAAAAATAAATTACAGTTTAAACTCATCCCAGTAGATTTGAATACTGATGCTGACAATGTACAGTATCATTGCAACAATTTTACCTAGCTATTAAGGGCATGCAAATATTTTTAATAAGATAAAATTTATTATACAAATATTTTATAGATAATCTGTTAAATACAGAAAATTTTATCATTTAGTTTAAGTTCATATGCACTTGCAATAAACGTTAATGCAAAATTATATTATAAGCTATTTGAATCCAAAATATAATCAAATTTTTAAGCTTTATTTAAAAGTTTTCTTTGAAAAAGAAAGCTCTCTTATACATACACAAGTGTATCCATTCCACATTCATAGCAGCGTTAACATACAACTGACACAACACCATTTAAACGAATTATAAATGAATTCAAAAAAATATTTTTAAAGTTATGCGCATGCTCTCTTAATAATATCCTTTTAAGTTGTTGTTATTCTTATTTAAAAGTTACCATTGAAAAATTTTTGTTGATTTTTCTCTTTTTATTGTTATTCTCTTTATTGTTTTCTCTATTTCTTATACTTTCCGTTTCACAATTAAATAATATGACAATATAGTTATTTTACTGTTTTGTTGAAATTTCATTCAAAAAAATTCCAACAACAAAGTCAAATATGTGTACATATATAATATATATATTCATATTATGTATATGTATGTGTGTATATATGTGGGTATGTAAGAAGTAATTCAAAGCGCATTATTATTTATTCATGATGATCAATGAAAAATCAACACAAAACAAAAAATAAAAGAGGAAATCCGAAATTGAATAGGAAAAACAAAGGGAGACAACAATAACAGTTTAAAGTAAAATAAAAGGGACAAAAGCAAATTTTTATTATTTTTTAATAAATTTTCATTTCAAAAAAAAATATTATGTTAAAAAAAAGCTTTTAAAACAAATTTATTAAAAGCTTTTTGTAAAATAAGAATTTTTCTTTGAAAGTTTTCATTGAAAGTTTGTGTGAGAAATAAAAATTAATTTTTGTAAAGTGTTGCCATATTAAATATATTTTTGTATTTTG